TTCAGCCTGTTATTGAACCCCAGTGGCGTGGAAGTGAACACAAAAAAATGGAACAAACACCATGAAACCCACTTAATTTCAAATAATTTCTTGGCTATTTCCACCACCATCACAGTTCTAGCGCTAGTACATAATCTTCAAGTAGCAGCACATTTTGGCAACTTCTCTTGGTCATGAGCAGCCAGAATCAAGCTTTTTTTTCCCCTGAATCTTTTTAAGAAGTTTCCCTGTTCTGCTGAATTCTAGGAGTAAGAAGGTAGAAAGTCAAGATGCTAAAAAAGACTATGAATCTTGCTTGTGCTGTAGTTGAGAAATGAAAGTTTATTCCCTTTTTTAAATGATTTCCAATAGTTTCAACATTCTCTTCCTTTTTTTTTCTTTTTGTCATAGCAAAAAAATGAAGAAAAAAGGGGGAGAATTAATGGAAAGGCCAAATGGTTCATTTTCCGGTCAATCCCTTAAGAACTTTAAAGAGTAAAGAAGTGGCTCATGCTGATTTCTGGAAAAAGACAGAGAAACTCTTAATTTTTGCCTGTCTGTCATTTTTTTTCCCCCCCCACTTGAAATAATTCATCCTGCCTTAAATTTAAACATTTGATTTGGAAACTGGGGCAGAAGGTGAGTGTTTGTGGGTGTGTTGGCAGGGGCATCCTGAGTGGAGAAAAGCTTTTGGGAGGGCAGGATGCAGCCCCAGCACTGCAGGGTGAGCTATACTGGGACTCTCCTTGGGCAAAACCATGGTGGGTGCTGCTGGGGTGGACGAGGAGGTGAAGATGCCAGCCCAGAAAATCTTTAAATACCTCCAACACAGGAGCTCAGCTCCCACTCCTGTTAATTTGGGAGCTTCTCCCAGCTGCTCTCCCTGGCTCTGAGGAATGCCCTGCTCCTAGGGTCAGCAGCCTGGGCATCCAGACCCCTCAGGACAGCTCTTGCTCTCTGTGCCTGGATGTTGTGCTGGGCACCAAAGGACCAAAAAGACTGGAGGAAAATTCCCAGCTGCAGTGAGTGATGCGTGCCCTCCTTTCCCATCAGAACCCCTCTGGAAGATGTTCAGCACTAATGCCTTGTTTCTCTCATTTACACGAAGGTTTCTGCATCCACGTGCATCCCTACTCTGGACCACATGGGTCTCTGCTGCAGGAGCTTGTCCTCAGGGTAGACCAAGGCTTTGCTGAGCCAGTGGACTCCTGGTTGTGTGCAGCACGAGGGTGCTCCCGAGCCAGGTTCAATGCTGGGTGAGTCATTTCCTTCTTGCTTTCTCTGAGCCTTTTCCCACCAGTGCCACCAGCTCACTGAACACGACTCCTCTGGGGCTGCTGCTCCATGGCCGTTCACTCAGGTGCCCCCAGCTGTGTTCCCAGGGGGCTGGACAACTCCCCATGAGCAGCAAGGCATCCTTTGCTGGCACCTCTGGAAGCAAATCCCGCAGCAGGGGACCGCTGTTGTGCCTGCTTTCCCCAGCTGATGATGTCAGGGAGGAGAAGGCATGTCGGGAGAGAATGACTTCATGGAGCCGCTCCGGGAATTGGTCCCCCCTCCTCGCAGAGAGGGCTGCTGGAAGAGAGCCCAGTGATGTCTTCATCCTCATGCCCCAATACAGGCAGTGTTTGCAAACACTGAGGTGATGCCGTTCAGAGAGGGGCCAGCCAGCCTGGAGGATAATGTGGCTTTTGGTGGCTTTCTGCTCAAAGCTCCGAGAGCCTCAAGGTGTGTTGTGGCTCATGAGTCCCAGCGGTGGGTTTGTGTGGCTCTTGGAGGAGGTGGAAGGAAGAAGGTGGCTATTTGGCTGCTTTTCTCAAAGTAAATGAGCTCTGCCTGAATGATGAACCCATTATGGCTATCACTGGACCCCACAGCCCTGTGACGTGAGGATTTCTCCATTTGCAGGTGCAGTGATGTTTTCCAGCTTCACCTGAAGCACAAGGGGGGATCTCCTAATGCAGCACAACTTTCATGGGCTGAATCAGCTGCTGGTGGAAGAACCCAGGCCCCAGCACACTGTGAGTTATCCCTGCAACCCACCACCACCACAGGAGAGCAGTGCAGAAACACTCCACTCCTGGTGCAAAGGCTGCACGTGGCCAGAGCCCATCCACTGTTTACTCTGCAGAGAGGACCCTGGTCCTGTCCCCTCTCTCATGCAGAAGTGAGAAGCAGGTTCATTGAAAACATCTCCACTGGAGTACCAAAAAAATGCTTTAAAATTCTCTGTTTTGCATTGGGAAGGAGGAGAAATGCAGAATGGATGGTTCTTGTAAGCTGTCTCGCATGAAACACCAAAGGATGGGAGCAATTAATGAATTAATTTCACTAGCCCCATTGGAAGGGTGCTGGCCATAGCCCTGGGGAGTGGTTGATGGGGCTGTGGAAGGAGGCTGCCTCCCTTGCTTTGATCCAGTGTGAGCACCCATCCAGAAATGTGGGGTCTCGCTGGCATCCTGCAGAGCCAGAGCCCGAGATGAGAGATGGCTGCTCTTCGAAAGTCAGGATCAATAATCTCTGAAAATAATGTTAATGAAAAAAACCCCCAAACCAAAAAGCAGGACCTCCTCCTCCCTGCTCCCCCAGTGGGAAGATGTGGCAAAGCCTTTCCTGTGTTCTTGCTCTAAGAAGAGCCAGGAAGATTTCTAGCAGGCTATCTCCTAGGAAATGGATCCATTTCAATCCTGTGGTTATTTATATTAAATAATTATGGGACTTAGCTCATTTATCCTGTGCCTTTTCACACCCTGGGTGACCAAGTGAGGGCAAGTGCAAGGCGAAGCAATGAGGGGACGTGGAGCCTGTGCGCAGCCTCACCACTGCTCTGGGACGTGGCTGTGCCTCGGGCCTGTGCTGGCCCCTCCACCCAAGGACAGTGAGCTCAGAGGTGTCCAGGGAGCATCTGGAGCAGGAGGTGATGCAGTGGCAGCATCCAGAGTGCTCTGGAAGCTCCGGGAAGCTCTGGGAAGCTCCGGCGCGCGCGGCCGGGAGCTGTTCCTGTTCCGTCTTGCCGTGTGATGAAACACTGCCACACCTGTGCAAATTTCCCCATAGCCTGAGGCTTGGGTGGAAGCGTGTGGGGATCATTAAATCAAGCTACTTAAGAGCTACTTGAAGATGGAAGATGTGAAATGGGGCGTATGGAATGGGTCGTGTCTAGACGATCCCCCGAGCACCTGACTGCCTCCACCAGAGCTGCTGCTTGCAGCGACTCTGGCTCTTGGCTGGTGCCCCTGAGGGACAGGCAGAGCTGGCTCATGCAGAAAGCCCAGCTGAGCTCCTGCTCCATCTTGCAGAGCAGTTGGGGCTTGCCTGGAAAGGCCAGGATGTCAACTCGCATCGAGGAGCCAGCCAGCGAGCTCGGGCTGGTGGTGCCTGTGAGGACAGGACCTAAGGGAGATCTAGGAAGGGGCGTGCGGATCTGGGATGCAGACTCCAGGTGTGCTGGGCTTGTGGCAGAGCTGGTCCTGCTCTGTGGGAACATTCATGCTGTTTTTGGAAAGGCTCTGCTTAACTCCTCTGTGCTTGTCCTTTCTCCTGGCCTCCTCCTTCACCTGGACTGAGATCCCAAGCAATTGTGAAAGAAGCTGGGTGGGAGAAAAAGGCTTTTAGTTTGAGAGGAGCCACAGGGTGAGTCACCACTTGTCTCAGCCTTGTGCACTTGGGAGCTTCCTTAGTGCATTCCTGCATGCATCCCAGAAGACTGCTCCAAGCAGCTCCCTTCCTCTGTGCATCCCCAGGGGATTCTGTGTTACTCCCTCACCTTCCCTTTCCAGGGTGTTGAGGTAACTCGTGAGACCCAAGACGGTGCACTGGGGTCTGGTAATGCAATGTTTTTTCCTTTGGTAATCAAGAGTGCAGGGTAGCAAGCTGGCTGTACCCCCCTCCCCAGAGCAGCCTCAGGCAGCTCCCATTAGATCACTTCAAATCCAGCCCTGCTTGGCCTCTGTGTCCAATTTTAACAGCATGACCGAATAGTTGCCGATGGGGAAGCCTTGTTTGATTGTGGAGGTAATAAGATGATTCGAACACAAGAGCTGATAGTTTCAAGTAACTGCAACTTAACCTCGTGGCATAAAGCGTTATTGTCCTGCCACAGAAATCCTCTGTCCGGGAGAGCACAGCTGCAGGGAAAATAAATGCTCTTCTTTTTTTCTTTTTCTTTCTCTTTTTGCTGTTTGTTTGTTTAAAGCCCAGGGACCTCGGATCGGTTTGCTCTTGTTGGCCACAATGGAGCAGTGGTGGGATGTGGGTGTTGAGCTCTGGCTGCGGGGCAAATTCCCTTTAATCCAAGGAATTAAATCCCAAGCAAAGCCACTGATGGTCATGGGTTTAGTTGAGATCCAGGCCAAATCCTGGCTCTATTGAAGTTAAATGGGACTTTTAGCTGCTGGTTGTAGAGGGATCAGGGCTGGTCCCTACTGCCAGTTGTTGAGCACATTTGCCCTGCCGACCTCAGCAGGATGGGCTGCCCTCCCAGGGGGGCACACACCTGGGATCTGGCTCCCTGGGTACTGCAATAATCTTGGAGCACTTAGGATGGCAGTGGGTGCCCCATTTGTGCTTTGCCTCCCCTGTACAGGTCCTGACTCCAGACCAAGCCCACTTTGCTCCATTTGAATCGCCTGCAAAACCTCACCAAGCAGCAGCTGCTAATTTGTCATTTACCTTCTTAAAACCGTCTCCAGATACAGAAACAGCTCATCACTGCCTGTAACCAGCAGGAATGCCAGCATCTGTTTTGGACATTGAGGCAAGTGGGTCTGGGACAGCTTTATCTGGGGTAGAAAACCACTACTGGTGTCATACCAGGACCACTGGTTGCCTGCTGCCGTGCTGTCAGGCCAGGAAAAGTGCTTCCAGACAGGCCAACCCTTCTGTGTTATAAATGGGGTAATAGAGATATTTGAATATATGTTTATCAGTGGTTGTTTTGGACAGAAGCTGCTGGTCCCTGGCTGCTGGGAGCTGCAGGAGCAACCACGTCCATCAGTGCTGCATGTCCAGCTCAGGGCTGGAGACACCTGCCCTGGGGCTGTGTTGCTCTTCTGACAGTTCAGACTCAGTGTGCAAAGGTAAGCGGGGGCTATTTTGTTCACTTAGTTTTATCTTTTAAAAACTTCCTATTTTTTTGAATTCCTCACCCACGCAGATCCGTGGGGTGAACAGGGAAGGTCTTAGTCCAGCTGGTTTTGGGAGCACTTAGAAATGCCCATGGGGATTTTTTATCTGGCAGAGCTGGGATCCTCTCTTCCCAGTCACGGCTAACATAAAAACATTTCTATTGATTAGTTGCACTTATTTGTTTGTCCAAACACACAGCAGCCCAAGCCTGTATTTGTGTGTGTACTCAAATGTCTTCCAAAAGCCACTCCTACCACCCCTGCAAAATAGTTGGAGGGTGACACAAGAGTGATAAACATCTGGCCATGGGAATGCTCTGGAGTGAATGAACGGGAGTTGTGAATGGGGACGGCTCCCTGTGAGTGGCTCTGTGGTGGCAGTGACTTCACTCCCTGTGGGACCCAAACACCGAGGCAGTGCCTCTGTGTCCCAGAGGAGAGGCAGTGACCCTGAGCACCCAGCTCAGGAAAGTCCCTTGCTAAGGGAAGACACTTCAGTAGATGCTTCCTCCAAGCTTTTCTTCTGGCACGGATCGAGGTCTGGATTTGTCCTTAATGGTTCTCACTGAAATCCGTGCTTAACATCGTCTGGTGAGGGGAATCAGTGATTTGTAATCCGTGTGAGGAATCAGCTGTCCTGTTCATCAGAGCTTCCAGCCTGATGATGGGATGTTTGTTGGAGCTGTTTTATGAAATTCTACTGCTTGGGACTGAAATAATGCCACTTTGTAGTTAATACACCAGGAAAACCTCAGAGACTGAGTCAGTACCAACTGCTGGTTCACATGCTAGTAAAAGCCTGCTGGTGTAAGTATGTTTCTAGACAAGCATGATTTTTGTTCTTCACTCCTGGGAGCTAGCAAATCTTTATTATTTTTTATTATTTTTCAAACATTGCCTCTACAAGCTTCTCAAACTTCTCTAAGGAAATATCTTTGCCATTACTACTGAGTAGGTGCTTTTTAAAGAGATTAGAAAAATGAAGGCTGAAATGAAATCCGAAAGCAATCAAATCAACCTTTTTGCAGAGATTTCTGTTTGAAAGACTATGAGGGATCTGCATCAACTCTACTGACTTGAGTCCAGCCACAAATTATTTGTGACATGGGTGAGAAACACGTGAAGCTTTGGTAGGAGCTGAATTTCCATCAGCAGAGAAATCCTGGCAGGTGGGAAGATTGCCTTTTTCAGCCCAAAACTGGGGTCTGGGGCAGGGATCATCCCTGCTTGGGATTCCTGTTGCCTTTGCCACTCCACACTGGTGATGCTCTAAGCTTCCCCTTCTCTAAAAATGATTTTGCTTGGGCACCTTGGCTTTGCTGACACGTCCCCAGCTCTTTCTGACAGTGAGAGGTGTTAGGTGAGAGGGTGGGTGAGGTCCTGCGGTTGAAGCAGGAGGGGATGCCAATTCCTGAGACCAGGGCTCCCTCTCCTCCTCCCTGGGTGATTCTGGGGCAGAGGCTGCCACTCCTCCCTGAGCACATGACACCCAAACCCATGAGCTGCCTTGCATCCCCTAAGTTGTTTTCTCTGGTTTATGGGTGGCTTCCTCAGTCTCTTTTGGAATGCTTTGGGTTTTGCTTAAAAACACTGCAACAGTGGCAAATGGTTTTGACAGAAGATCCGTCTCCTTTTGCTTGCATGTCCTCAGCACAGAGGCAGCAACTATTGGAAGAAAACCCCAAATATTTTCCAGGTGATGTGTTTCTCATCCGCCACTGTTGTGGGCACTGGGGAAATGAAGGAATGCTCTCCCAGCTGCTGACAGCACCCTGAATCTGCCATTTGCTCTTCTTTACTAGGGCAGCAGAAACTGAGTCTCCAAGCTCAACAGAAGTCTCATGGTTCAGCATTTTAGGCCCACATGACAAAGAGCCCAGATTGGCTCTGTGCCCTGAGAGGTGCTGATGGCGAGGGTTTCATGGACCACTGAGTCCTGCACCTTACATCTCTCCTAACCCTCAGCTGCAGCACATTTGCAGCTCCCTCAGGGATTGCTGGTGTCCCAGAACCCCACCACTCCTCGACCTGAATCTCTAGCTTTCCGTGCTTCCTTTCTTCTCTCTCATAATTAGGGGCAGGTCTTGGACAACAGGCACATGTGGGAGTGGCTCAGGTGGCTAAGGAGGACCTCAGTGATGAGCTTGGACAAAAAGGACCAGGGTGGCTGTGCTCTGGGATGGCTGAGATCTCCCCAAAGGCCTCCCTGAGTCCTTGCCTTCTCAACTCAGATTCTTTCAGCGTGTACCACACTCAGTTCCCAAGAAGCTCCAAGTCATGTGTCACTTCTGCAAAGCCTTGGCCTGCCTCTCTCAAGCCTGAGGTGCCTCATGAAGCTTCTGTTATCTTCTACAGTGGCCCAGGACAAGGACCCTGGCTTTGCTTGCACCTCACTGGGTAGAGGTAGTTCTGACTGCCAGTGTCACATCACTCCTGTCCTCCACCACAGATGCACAAGCAGGGAAACTAGGTCACATCGTGGGGGTGTATCTGCCTTGTCCCTTGAGAAATCCTTTTTTCTTCACTTGTTTGGTGACCTGTGCCTTATCCCAGCTGGTGAAGGGCTGGTTTATGATGCATGGCTGGAAAAGAGAGGCTGAATCAGAGAGTTTTGGCAGAGGCCAGGCTGAAGGTGGGGTTTGAGCATGGTACCGGCTGCAGGAGCTGCAAGGGCTCAACCAACCCCCCAGGAGCCTCCCCAGATGCTCCCAAGCCACCTGCACCTCTCCTAGAGGCAACTCCTTGCTGGCTTCGGGATTTCTCTGCATGTGCCTTAATCCTAGGAGGGCTTTTTTTCTCGTAGTGGGGGTTGCATGGAAATAACCTTATGTGGGAATGTGCTCTTTGCACCAAAGGGGTTAAAGTCTGCTCCCTCCTTCTGGGCTGACCATGGAAAATACTGCTCATGCCAGGGACTATGCAGGACAGAAACTAGGGCTCCTAGGATACAATTATACAAATAATACAACTTGTTCCACGAGCAGCGGAAACCAGTAAAGCCTGGTTTCCGATGGGTTTATGTTGTGGAGTAAAGGGTGCTCATGGGCTCTCACTGGCCAGTAAAAGCTAAACATGTGCCCATCACCATCTCATTAGCCACCAAACTTCACAAAATTTACGTAAGCTTCCTTTGACCTCGTAAAGAAACCAGCAGCTTAATTCTCTATTTTTTCTGCTGGGATCAAGTCACACTTGATTTCTGGGATAGAATACATGTGTGGTGGAGATGTTCAGCAGATGCATGCTGGAGCCTCACAGGAACCAGACATTCATCTGTTTGTCACAAGCCCCTTCTTGGCACAGCAGCAGCCCATGTCACCCTTCAAGAGTGGTAGGGATGTGGCAGGGGTTTCTATCTAAACCCTACCAAGATGTGCTTGCTGGTTTGTTGATCAGGATGTGATGAAGGCTTCTTAGTGACACACTAGCGGGGAGAAGGAGTGGGAGCTGCTGTGTCATCTTCATGAGAGTGGCAGTGGGGCCACTGATGTCCCCTCACTCTGAGGTGGGGAGAAGCACGGGCAGAAACTGGTGTCCCGTGAGTGAGTGGGGGCTTGGGAGAGCTCTGTTCTTGTCCATATCTGGCAGCATGGTCCATCTTCACCCTGCCCCATCTCCTGAGCCGACCGTGGGAGTCGTGGCTCTGCTGCGCTCCTTGACAGTTTGGTTTTGAGGGATGAGCATAAATGCTGTCCACAGGTGGGCGGGATGGCAGGAGGCTGCTTTGCCTTGCTGGGAGCAGGGACTGGAGCTGTGTGGTTTGCAGGAGGATGACACAGGCTGGGATGACTTGTCACTGCTAATGCACAAGACGCTACTGGGGTGCTCATTAATGGGAAGGGAGGAGAGGGTCTAGAGGTAAACAGAGCAGGGCTGGCAGATGACTGTGCCATCTCTGCGCAACCTCGTCTAAGCCTATTTATATAAATCATGTGAAACCCAAATTAGAATTTTATCCATCTGCTGTGCTGTAAGTTGCTCTTCCACCAGCACAGCAAGCCAAGAAAATGCTCTTAACTCCGTAAGATCTGCCTTGAGTGTGAGAAAGGTTTGTATACAAGGCCCAGTGCTGGTGTGGGGGCTGTGAGGATTCACACTGCAGCCTCCTGCAAGGCTGCAGGACAGGCTGTCACCATGTCCTCCAGGAGACAACAATGGCTTGACATCAAGGGCAAGCCAGGAAGAGATGTGGATGTTCAGTGAGAAGCCTCCAAGGCTTCACTGTGTGCAGGAGGACAAGGGCTCACCTCTGCCTCATGTGTGGCATAACCATGGCTGAAAGTGTTGAGCAAGACCATCAATGCCTGACTCCTGGTCCCAAGCACTGTTGTGAGCTTGTTGTGGTTTGGCACAATGAGGAAGGTAGGGAAAAGCCCTTCTGTACTTTCCCATGTTTCCTACTTGTAACAGAGGTGGACTTTTCAGCCATTCCCTCAAGGAGGCTGTTACCCCCTTTGCTTTGCAGATGCTCAGCACCCTGCGTGGGGCGGCTCCTCCCAGGAGTTACACTGAGGCAAACCAAATGTGACCACAGGTCTGTGCCTGCCCTCCCGTGCGGCTGAACTCGCCTCTCCTCTGGGAGCCCACACTCGCAGGAGGATCCCGCGGGCCGATGACTCGGCCGGCCGGACGCTGCCCTGGCAGCGAGCACAGGGCTGGCCCCGCCACCACAGCACAGCAATTTCTAGGAAACACATCTGCCTCCCCACACGGGAGGTCCCTGGTGAAGATGATGACTCACCAAGGGATCTCTTGACCTCTCTACCCGGCACTGTTGCGATCTGGCTTTCTTGGCGTTTAGTGCTTTTCCCGTCATTAAAAATAAAACCTGCTTTTTTTTTATTATTTTCCCCTCATTGAATTGAAGATTCCAGTGAACAGTTTGGGGGTAAACAAGTGAAGATGACACTGTGGAGGAACAGTTGGTCAAGTTTGCGAGAGATGGAGCCAGATCTAAATATGGCACAGCCTCACTGGTACAGAGCAGAAGGAAGGTGGCATATGTGTCTGAGCAGTTGGATTGCTGCATGCTCTGTTAGATTTCCTTAACATCAAGTGTCTTCTCTTCCTTTTTTCTTTCCTTTTTAGCATAAAAAAAGGAGTAGAAGCTCACCAAAAACGTCCTAGGGTGGAAATAGGGAAGGGCTACAAGGAGATGACGAACCCTTTGGCTCAGCTGACAGATGGAAGCAGAGGTGTCTGGATGAGATGCTCCTCTGCAAGGACCAAACCAGGAGGCCATGGCCACCCCCAGCCAATCTCCTTGCTGCTGATGCACACACCAAAATTTGGCCTGGCAAAGGCCTTTTCCCAGGTGACCAATGGAGTGATTGCTCTGGGTCATGTATCCCTCAGAGTCCAAGAGGGAGGAGATCCCTGGTGCTCATCTGGGGATGCTGCACACTGTCAGCCTTCCGGCCGGGCCTCTGCACACCAGGAACAAGATGGACCAGGTGCTCTGGGCTGTGTCCTCAAAATGAGTGTCTCCTCCAAAGTCCCAGACCACTTTGTTAACACAGAAAAGCTGATTCCCTCTAGCATTTAGTTCCTCCTGGAAAGTGCATCCTTACACCCCACTGATTGCATCAACTTTTTGGGCCTCTATGTCTGTCAACAAAACCAGCAGAGAAATCAATGTCCTTGGATTGTCTTCACTGCTGGAAAGAACCGCACAAGGATTTCACTCTCCCACTGCAGCTGACTGTGGAGGCGACCAGAGGCCAGGCTACACTGGGGAAACAATGTGCTACTGGATGTACACTGCCAATCCTCACATGGGTCCTGCCCATCCTGGTGGGTAACCACAACCCCTGTGCTGGGGGGATGGAAGCTTTCTTGCCTGTGGAATGCTCTTGCTGGGTTTTCACACATCCAGGGAAAGGCAGGGAACTGGGGAGGGGCAGCCAAAGGTGAGACTGTTGCAAGCAGCTTGGCTCAGGGCTTTTTTCCTAAACCACCCAGTTACAGGTTAGTCATGGAGACTCCAACATCCCTGCCAAAGATCCACTGATTTTCCTGTGAAGCCACGTGTCTGTGTCATGTCACTACGTTTGGCCACTGAAACCAAATCTTTCTACAAGTGTTCCAGTGGGAAGGGCTGGTGTGGCTGAGCAGGGAAGAGTTTTGTACGGATACAGTGGACAGGTGACTTATCCAACCATTGCCAGGAAGGGCAGGGCTGTGCACACAAAGAACAGGAAGGAGCAGGCGCTGTGTCCTGGACCTGGAAAAGGTGGGAGCTGAGGTGAAACACTGTGGGGTGGGGACCTGCTCAGTGGGTGTTGATGTTGAGCATCTCTCTCTGCAAATGCAGGGAGCAACCAGCACTGCCACGGGCAAAATCTAGCCTGGACATTTTTGTCACTGTTTAAGCTTTGGCTGGCCCAGGAGCTGGGGAGGGTCTCCCCAGCCAGCTGCAGGCACTGCAGCACCCTTCCTTCTCTCCCTGGCAGGGTGGATGTGCAGGCAGAGCAGTGTGCTACACAGAACACAGCCTCCTCTAAAAAGTCAGTATTTGCCAGCAAATAACATATGGTTTTGTTTTGGTTTAATTGCCTCAGAGTCAAGTCTCCTAATCTGCATTTTAGATCAGAGACCCCAAAATCCTCAACGTAGGAGAAAGTGCTACAGAGAAAGAGTGAAACAAAGACAGGTCCTGGAGCACTGGTTGTGCTGCCTGGCGTGTTGCAGCAGTGTTGCCTTGGAGCTACTTCTTCTACCCTCTGAAGACTTGTGTGAAAATGACCAAGAAACAAAGGGCTCAGCCTGCTTCTGGAAGGGTAAAAAGCTGTTAATGGAGCGTTGCTTGATTGAAGAGGCTGAGGATGGTGCCTGACTTCCTGCACCCACATCCTGGGAAAGCAGCTGGAAATTGATCCTGGTTGGGTCATCCACTGATGAGCTAATTTTTAACACCAAGCATGTGAGTATAAAAGGGATTAAAAGTAAGTTTAAGAGCTTTAATCACATCAAAAGGAGGTGGTCAAAGTGTTTTTGTAAGGAGTTGTTTCAAATGCCCTTTGTGAGTGCTGAGGTTCATCTTATTTTGAGGGGTAGAAACAGAGGAGTATAGAAACAGAATCTTCTGTGATGCAAAACTGCTGCTTGTTTCACAGTTTTGCATAGTTCATTTTGATGAACAGACTCTTAATTCAGTTTAACTCAGGCTTATTTCTCCCCCTGCTCTCCCTATGCAATGTAATCCCATTTTGTGTCTAGGTTACTGGCAACCAGTATATCAAGCTCTAGCCAAACATGTATTAAAATAAAGCTGCAATCTGCTGAAAAACAGGTTTTAAGATGGAAACAAATAATTAGAAACACACAAATTAGTGTCTGTCTGACAACAGGTTGAGCTCTGCACAGATTTAAACAAAGCTGTAATGGCAGGATGTGAGCGATTCAAACCGGAGGCAGTGGCTGAGCGTTGACTTTAATGGGTCAAGTGGAAAAGATGTGGGGAAGGAGCAAACCCGGGTGGGTTTGGCTGGGGCTGAGCACCCAGAACTGAGAGATAAAATAGCAACACATGGGGGCTTTGAGTAACTCGTGGCCTTTCAAGGACCAAGGCCTCGGATGAAGCAGGAGCCTTGGCTGATGTTAGAGTTGCAGCAACTGCTGCTGCCTCTGGCACTGGTCCTTCCCCTCTGCTGACTGCCTGCACTGGTGTTCATTGGGCAGTGGTGAAGGTGTGGAAGCACTTTCTGTGGTTTTGTACCTTTGCTGTGGGTGGTTTCTCTGCCTGCAGGCTCCTGTGGTCTGACAGTGCCCCAGGGCCAGGCTGGGGGAGCCCTGCCCATGCCCCCTCAGCTGGGTGAGGGACAGTAGGGCCTCTGCGGAGCTTTCCAGCAGCTGTTGGGAGCAATTCAGTTAAATACTCTTTTCCTCTCATTCACAGAGACATCTCACCGCTGGAATTGCAGTGCTCCAGTTCCTCGGGGAGCCTGTGAGCAGCAAGTCAGCCAGCAGCATGGATCCTCCTTCTGCAACCATTGTTATGGAAATTGCCTTAGAGACAGTTGCTTCAGCAAACATTTTTAGAAGCTTGAGTGAGATGTGCAACAGGAAAACTAAGCTGGAGGTGAGGAAAACCCCCCTCCAGGTTCCCAGCACTGCCCCTTCCTCCAGTGGCATAGTGGAGCCTTACTGGCTCTCTTGGATGAGATGGCATTTAGGGTGTTTCTTTGCCTGGTAAGGCAGGGAGAAGGAACCTCTGGAGGAGAAGCCCCTTCTGCGTCAGTCTCCAAGGAAACCCTTGGTGTTGCGTGGCTCAGCCTTCTTTGCACGCCTGGAGTTTTGGCAGTGGCTCACACATCCCAGACTTGTGCGTGAATCATATATCCATGCTTTCATCTGCCAGTGGTATTTCATAAGTGCAAAATTTAGGCAAATTGTGGGGTTTTCCTGCCCCTTTGAGATGCCACTTTATCTCAAAGATACTCACAGTTGGACTGGTGTGCAGGAGAAGAGATGTCCTCCCACAAGCTTGAGAGAAACTAGCCCTATCTCTGTTTTGAATATATATTCCTCACCATTGAGTCTGAAAGAAGAAGCCTCCTAATGCTCCCACACCTCCCAGATTCTTAAAAGCAAGCCTGGGAGCTGTGGTGGTTATGGGGAAGCTTGGGCAGCAGGTGCTTCCAGGTCTGCTGCCACCAGCCTGGTTGCAGTGCCTGAACCAGAGCAGGTCACACTGAGCTGCTGGGGAAGAGGAGCTGTCTCTGCCACTGCCTGGTGACAAGTGGGAGGAGGAGAGGAGAGCAAGTCACTACCCCACAAGTTTCCAACCCCCCTCCAGGTTAGGGCTGGACACGCACCCAGGCAGTTTCACTGCTCACCCCCCATTTGTGCTGAAATACCCAGCCCTCTCATCTCAGTTTTGATCCAAAGAAATCATCTCATCTCGATTAACTAAAAGCAATTACAATTAAGGCTTGCTTCTCTCGGGTTTGCTCATGCTCATCACCACTGCCTACCATGGAGCTGGACCAGATCTCCAGCCCGTGCCCAGGAGCTTTGAGCAGCCTCAGCTGATGGAAGAGAAAAGCACGGATCCAGTGACCTTTGCTTGTGTAACTGCTGCCCACAGTCCCTGCCTGACATTTGAGGAGTGGCCGTGAGTGCTGGAGGGGGTGCACGGTGATGGGGTGCTGGGCAAGGTAGGTGAACCTCATCCTTGCTGGCAGAGTGTCAGGCTGAGCCCTGACCCTTCCTTTCTCTTTCTGGAAGTCACAGTGGACTCTCACAGCGGTGTCTCACCAGGAACCAAGGACAAGAAACGTTCCCCCAGCTCCTTGCTGGCCAGGCAGAGGGATTGACCACAGTTTGTCTATTCCCAGGGCTGTTTTGCTGCCCACAGCAATGGAGCCAGAGCAGAGTGGAGTGTGTTTGGCTCTGTGGAATGTTGTGTCACTCACTGCAGGTGCCTTGGGACTGAGCAAGAGGGAGCTCACAGGCTGGAGCTGGGAGGGGACCCTGTCATCCCAACGGAGATGCCGGCAGTCATGAGGTGGTGGCAAGATGCCACCAAACAGTCCAGGCCACACTGGCCTGCCAGGTCCCCAGTTTCAGCCTGGCTGCTCCTCAGCATCCCCCTGGCAGTGCCTGGGGTGGGGAAGGATGACTCCATCCCATCCCAGGCCTGCCTCCTCTGGCTTTTCCAAGCTGACTGGTATTGATGCCTCCAGGCACTTTCTGCAGGACCACGGTGCCAGGGGCTGCAGAAGCCGCTGAGCATCCTGACCTTCACACTGGTGAGTTGTCCAGCTTTGCAGCCAGTACAGCTAAAGGGGTGTCTTTCTCCCTGAACCTTGGAGACTCTTTATGCCAAGGATCCTTGGCGTTGCCAACCCCCAAAGCTCAACAGTCAGAAGCGTGAGCTCAGCATAAGCCCCCAAATTTCCTTTAAAAGAGGAAATTTCAGGGGAGGATGAGGAAGGGTAATTCTTTGTATTTTGCATTCTGAGCTGTCTGTGCTTATTTTACCTCCCGTGGTACTTTATCTGCTGCACTTGTGCTGGCTGGAAGCTCCCTTTTATTTTGTTTTGTTTGCATTTAATGTGAAAACTGAGCTTTTTGGGGCAAGAAGCTGAAGCTTGGCCACAGGAACTGAGCCCTGGGCTGTGCCTGACTATGAAAGTCAGATGCCTTTGCTGGACATCTGGCTGCTTTAGCTACAGATAGCAGGGAAGAGCACTTTAATATTTATCCTGAGCTAAAAAAACAAGTAGAATGGAGAAAAATATACAAAGTAGGCCATGAAAACAGGGTTTGTGAACATCTGAGATCCGCTCCTAATTAATAGCAGTTCC